AAGGGAAATAGGTTTATTTGGTTTACGATTCTGGGACAGCTGCATCTGGCACGGGCCTCAGGCTGCTTCTACTCATGATAGAAGAGTGGCAGCAGCCAGCGGGTACAAGCAGATCACATGGCAAGAGGAAGACAGAGAGAGAGAAGTGAGAACTCACTCACTACCCCTTCCCCCCCAGGGAGAGCATTAATCCATCCATGAGGGATCCGCCCCCATGACTCAATCTGTTTCCAGCACTGCCACATTGGGGATCAGATTTCCACATGAGTCTTGGAGGGGACAACACATCCAAATTCTATCACACGCTTTTACTTTTTTCATTTTTTTCCTTGCCTTATGTCCGTTTGATCAAGTGTTCTTGATCAGGGTTTCTTCATTCCTCCCCTACCCTTGTGCTTAACCCTTGAGTATTTCCTATCTAAATTTTAAATAACGTTCCTCTCCTCCTTACTGAGCAGTACAGGGCCTTACTAGACTCCTTCTACTTCAGTCGTTCCCATCCCACCTCACCTTTCATGATGTCCTACTCTGCATTTGAGTTTCCCTGTATTTTACATCCCCCGGGTTTACTACTCTTGAGAATCACCACTTCCTTACCTTTACCTGTTTACCAGTTTCTTTGCTGATCTTTGGGTATTTATCACTTTATTCATCCAAACTCTTTCATTGGAATTTCCTTTTTCCTAAAGCATATTCTCTATTAAGTCCTTTAGTGGGGATTTGTAGAAGGTAATCTCTATCTCTTACTGAGAAATGTTTTTATTTTGCTTCCTTGAGTGGCAGTTAGTGGTTCTACGTGGATAGTTATTTTCCCTGCAGTACTTGGAAAATCCATCATGTTCTAGTCTCTGTTGTGGAGGGACTTGTGTCACTCTAATTGTTATCCGTCTTTTGTTTATCTGTAGAATGCTGCAGTTTCACTATAATGTGTCTTTCACTAAAATTACTTGCTGTAATTTTTTGTTATTTATCCCACTCGGAATTTATTTTTCTTCTTCAGTCTGTAGATTCCTGTCTTGTTTGAATTCTGGGAATATTTTAGCTGTTTATCTCTTTGAACATTGTCTCTCGCTTTTTACTCCATTCCTTCCTTCTGGAACTTCTGTTTGATGTAGCTTTACCTGTTTTTTTAGATCTTCCATGTCCGTTATGCACTCTTTCATGTTTTTGCATCTCTGTAATTTTCTCAGCTATTTTTTGCTTTTCTGCTGTGTCTGATCAGAGTTTTTAATCTGTCTCTTGGATTTCTAATTTTATTGTCTCTTAGTTTTTATTTCTGGAAGTTATATTTGCATATTGCACAAATCTGCCAGTTCTTTTCTTCATAGTGCCTTATGATGCTTTCTACTGTCAGCCCTTTCTAGTACTTTGGTGTCTCAAGTTTTCAGATGCCAGTCCTTCTGTATCTATTTTGCCTGCTGACTCTCACTCATGATGAGGTTGTGGTTTCTGATTAGGAACTGTTTTCTTTTTCTCTCCTTTGAGTCCTCTGAGGCTTTGATTGTGGAGGTGTCTTTCTAGATTGGCTTTATTTGCTTCTGGGAGGTACCCTATAGAGTTTTAGGCTCCAGCATTCCTATATCAAGTGCCCATTGTGACTTATTACTGCTAGCCTGCTTGGGGCACAGATGTGAGACTACAATTTCTCACTGGACACTTTGTTTTCCTTCCCTACTGCAAGTGCTGAACAGAAATAGCATCTCTACATCATGTCGTGCTGCCTGCTGACAGCTTATAGGTGGTCAGAGGCTTTGGGTGTATTTATTTTTGATAGTTTATTTTCTGTGTGTTATAGTTTTTGTAGAATAGCCTGGACTCTCACAGCAGCAGCCTTTAGTACAGGCTTATCTACCTACGTGTCTGGTTTTTTCATCTTTTTGTCACTGCCAACACCTCCACAATCAGGGAGAACTTAGGAAACTTGAAGAAGTTATGAGAAGTAGGAAACTAAATAATGTGATGGGCTCTGAATCACAGTGGCTGAGGAGATGAGCGACACTGGATTTGAAATAGAAGCCCCTGAAGCCATAGAAAAGAAGGAAGAAGATATTTAGAGAGCACCTCTTATGGGCCAGGTACTTTTATGATGACAGTTACCGTGAGAGGTAGGTTCTCTCCCCACATTGTAGATGAAGAAACTGAGGATCACAAAGGCCAGGTGACATCCCTGAGCTTCTGAAGCCATCGGTAGCCACAATGCAGGTGAGGTCTGTCTGTCTGACTTTACAAGTGTGTTCTGTGCACTGTCCTCCTGCACAGAGGAATGAGTTAAACTGCTTTTGTGAATTTACTTCAAGTTGTCATTCTTTTCCTTTCCTGGCTTCCAAGCGTCTCGTGCTGCTTTTCTCATGGATTACTAATTCTGTTCAAAGGTATTGATGAGAGCAGTGTTTCTCAGTCTTTCCTGGCTGCAGTGCATCTTACAAAGCAACCCAGTACATAGGCCAGTACAGACACGTAACTGAGACAAACGTTCTGTGACACAGTCCTTTCCCTCACCCTGTGCAATGGTTCTGATAGCTTCTGATTCATTCTATTCTATCTTATTGTTTCCTTTGGTGAAAATAGGCTGATTGTGACTAATTAACGTAGTCTCACAGCCCTTTAATGGCTCACGACCCATATTTTGACCCCATGTTTTTGAAGCACAGTTTATGTAGCTCGAGCATATGTCCGCAGAGGGTTTAATAGCTTTTCTCCTCAAGAGCCCATTCTTCTGTCCCAGCTGTTCTTAGGTCCAGCATCCATGTAGCTGGCCAGCCACCCTAATTCTTTTTTTTTCTCTAAGAGTGTGGAAATTTCTCTTAAATAGCATCCCAGTATTAACTTTAGAAGTTTAGAACATATCCCACTTATTCTTTTAGTGGTTTCCTATTGATAACATTTATTTTTAAACCGTTTAACTATGTAAGATTGTAACTTGCTCGCCTATTCTTGCCTTTGATCTTGATCATTTTATATTTCCTCCCTGTTTGTCTTATTCCAGATTATTTCTGACGTACTTTATTTAGCTACTTCTTTCTAAAGCAAGTTTTAAAACCAAAACAAAGATTTGCCATTTATCCATCTTGGATTTCTAGCTCATTTTTCTTTTTTATTTAAGTAGTATAGAGTAGCTTAACAATAGAGTTAATGGAAAAGTATCTGACTTTTATTATGCCATTCTCTAATTTTACTTCTTAAAGACAAAACAAAAGACCAATATGCATATAGGGTAGAATGAGAACACTGTTTTGTCGTGCCTGCCACATGATAGCGTGTGTCCTGTGGCACAAATGTGTGTTGAAGTGTACCACTTTTTGTCTCTTTTCCCTAGACCGCCGAGCCACGCCATTGTGGTGAATGGAAAAGAATGTATAAACTTTGCCTCATTTAATTTTCTTGGACTGTTGGATAACCCTAGGGTTAAGGTGAGTAGCACATAATCTGAAGTGGACAGATAACATTACTGTTGTAAGAGACCGCACATAAACTAAAAAGCAAATGCAGACTATCAGAAAGGGCTTTGTTAGGGTTTGCCATTACTCTTTGTTAGACAGAGTTGTAACCTGGTCTTAGACAAAGGGAGGCAGGAGTGTCTTGTATGGCTTAGGGTTGGTGACAGCCAGCATACTAAGTAAGTGAGACCTGGGTAATAATCACAGAAGTGTCTAGGAAATTGCTCCATGTGCTGTTGGGATTGTGGGCTAGCAGACATTTTTCAGGGAAGACTTAAGCCCACAGATGCAAAAGTATAAAGGTGTCGAGTTAATCAGGTTTTGAAAATCAGGCTAATATAACTTTTCCCTGTTTAAAGTTACATATGTAAATCTTTACACCTGTCTTTTCTTTTTTTTTTTTTCCTTTTTGTCTCTTTTTGCTGACCGGCAATGGGATCGCAACCCTTGGTGTTGCACCCGCATCGCGCTCAGCCAGTGAGCGGGAACCGGTCTGTATGTGGGATCTGAACCCTCGGCGGGAGCGCCGCCGCACTCCCAAGCGGCACACTCTCCAGTGCGCCACCGGGCCGGCCCTACACCAGTCTTTTCTTTATATCCTCTTACAATTGTCATAGTTCTAGGAAAGGAAAGCAGCTTGGGTAGGAGGGAGGAGCTGTGTGGGCTAAAGAGTAGTAAATGTCAGTTTTGTACTCTTAAAGATAAATTATTAAAATATAATTATTTTACTTCAATAAAGGCAGCAGCTTTAGCTTCTCTAAAGAAGTATGGCGTGGGGACTTGTGGACCTAGAGGATTTTATGGCACATTTGGTAAGTTTTTGTCATATTCTTTTTCAGACCACTACTTTCAAGAGTTAAGATTCAATTTTATTTCATGACTCCTTGGAAAACATATCCTTTAAGTAGTTGTGGCATTAAGGTGGTGTGTGTGATTTCTTACCCAACTTTCTAGAACATTTTGTGGTTTGGAACCATTGGTGGGAATGCGTTGGTCCAGGGTTGAGTGTAGCTTGTGGAGAAGAGAGCTGTAGGTACTTCTGGTCGTGCTGTATCAGGCAGGCGAAGGCAGAGAGGCTGTTGCACAAACCCCGAGAGAGAGAGGTGTGAGCAGACTTTTCTGTCGGGCAGCAGCTGTCAGGTGACAGGTCCAGTTGCGAGGTGGCTCTGCTCTTCACAGTTATGCGGAGACCTGTATCTTCCCAGTCTTGTTACTCTAGTGTCCAAGGGCACTGTCCTTGTCTGTATTGCGGACACCAGGTCGCAGGAGTGCAGGGCAGCAGTACCTTTGTGCAGGGGATGTGGCATTGCACATCTCTTCTGCCCACAGTTCATGGGTGAGAACGTAACCCCGGCCATACCTTGCCACAAAGGGGGCTGGGAAACTGCACTAGCTGGACAGCATGTGCTGCGAAGAAAGGCAAGAACAGATTTGCTGGGGGGTGGGGAGAGAGAAACCAGCTTTTTTCCTTTCTGGAATGAAGATGAACGTTGTGTGAGGATGATCTGGGGACAGGCTAACTAAATATTCGGATGAATGTATGATTTCAAATACTATGAACTCCTTAACACAGAGTCATCAAAGACGACCCTGGCATTTTATGGTGGTTTTTATTATGTGTATATTGTTTGCTTCTGAAAATGTCATTAAATTGTTCAAATGAATATACTGCTGGAAATAGCATTCTGGCTTACAAAATGTTAGAGTGTGGGGAAAGCAGAGCAAGGGAAGTCTATTCTGTCTTCTGTCCTCCTTACCATTTCTGGGCCTTTTTGTGTATTTTTACTTTAACAGTTATGATATTTTAATGTAAGGGAACACCTTTCTTTATTCCTTAGCTGATTTGGTGGTTACATTACTTGTATTGGAAATATGAGGAGAGTTCAAGAATCCTATAGGTGGAAGGGAGCTTAAAAATCTTGTACGATCTTCATCATCCCAACTATTCAGAAGAGGAACAGAAAATCAAGAGGAGTTAAATGTCTTCTTCAGTCACAGAATTTATTAATTTCAAACCTAAAATTAGAAACCATATATCCTGACTTCCAGTTTTGATGGCAAGATCAAAGACTTTAGTGAGCTCAGATCAGAGTCTCCCACTTTCCTCTAGTCTAATGCAAACTCAAGTTGTTTGCTTGGTTTTTATTGGTAGGCAATTATTTCCTTGACAAGTACTAGAAAACTATAAAAGACATTTTTTATGGGGTTGTTGATTATAATCTGATCAACAGGCTTTCTTTCCGTAACTGCCTGCTGGGGTAAAGAAATCTCTTTTAAAAAGCCTCCCTTTCTAGTGGATTTTATTTGCATGTCTGGTCTTGGCCCCTGCTTAGGAGTTAATCTGGGAAAACAGATGAGAGATTTATTGCCAAATCAAGTCATGGGGAAAAAAAAATGTTTCAAATCTTCAAGACCAGTTTTCCCAAAGCTGTGAAATAAATATATTTTAAAATAGCGCAGTTGACTTTCCATTTGGATGACCTGCATAACAGCATGCTAGGTGCTTTCGAATATGGGGTCTTGAGATTAATTGTTTTCAAGTTAATTTCCTTGATTGGGAAATCAGTACATGATACAAACTTTAAAACATTTAAGAGACAGATGTGGGAAGCCTTCTACCCTCTGGCCTATCTCCTCCCCACAATGAGCCCACCCCTCAAAAAAGACAAGCTATCGGTAGTTTCTTGTTAATTCTCCAGAGATTTTTTTTCGACATGTGCAAACCCTTCTGTACATATGTTTCTTCCCATTTGTACAAAAGTGGAAGCATGTCATACACATTTTTCTTTAACTTGTTTTAGAGTGTGATTTAAATTTAAATTGGATTTGATCTTTCAGGTGTGTAAATGGCCACCAGAGGGAGTATAATGATCACCCCATTGTGTATCAAATCCTCTGTAAACTTTATTGGTCACTGAGTGATCCTTATCCTAAAACTGTGGTTGAAGGTTCAAACAGACAAAGGTTGCATCTGGACAAAGATTGCAAGTTAATTTGCAGTGGGATGGTTTTGTAAGGAGACCCCCACCTTGCAACCTGAAGTAATGTGTGCTGCTGTTCCCTGAGTGTATTGTCCTTCAGATAAACTTGTTTCATTCCTTCTTAATGGTTGCTCATGTTAATTATCATCTTTTTTCCTTTCTTTCTATATGTATTGCCCATATTTGTACTTTTTTGGTTTTCCAGCAGGATTTTTCTTTCCTTCCTTATTCTGGAAGTAATCACTTGAATTAATTGTAGTTATATTAAAATACCTTGAAATTTTAGCATTAAATAAAATCAGAGAAACTATTTGGTCATCTAAGGCTAAATTTTAAATGTCTAAAATGGCCTCCACAGTTAAATTATCCTGAATATTTAGGGTGCCTTTGACCTTTGTGCTGAGTAGTGAAGCAGATATGAGGACCCTTTCCTCTTGCTTCTAGCTGTTTTTGTTCTCTTGGAGAGTTTAGTTCAAGCTTAGGATCTCTTTTCCCTGGGCCCCCAGAAGGTTGCATTTAATTTTATCTTTTTTGTTTTCTTGAAAGTGTTACATTCAGGCATCTATTTTCAGAGTCTGCTCCCTCTTTTAGCTGTTCTCTCAACTTCTCAGATAATGAATGTAAATCACTTTTTATAAAAGTAAATTATCTTACTGAAACATTTTTACAGTAACATATATTAAGTTAGGTGATTAACACAGAAAAAGAAAGTAGAGTAACAATTGAGTTAAAATTCACATAGTTTCTTAGGCTCAAAATGTTCGCCTCCCTCCTAGAGGCCCAGCCTGTAGAACTAAACAAGTTCTTATAATATTCTCTCAAGGACTGTGTGATCCAAATTTCTTCCCACCTACCTGTGTTTATTTTAGAACTGAGCAAGTGGTTTTGTCAGGTTGTGGAGCCTCTCTTCCCTGTAATGCTAGTGGGGTCCCAGTTTCTTTTTGTTTTTAATACATTTAAATCTTACTTACCTGTGATTCATCCCTGGTACCCTGAGCTCATCTTTGCGTATGTAATGCCTACTTGACTGGTCTAAACTAGATCAAAAGACAATTATGTGGCAGGGTTTCTGGGTGATAATGACATTTAATTACGTTCTAGAGCCAGTAGTAAACAATTGTTTGGATTGAGTTTTTTATTTTTATTTTTATTTTCTTTCTTGCTTTGAAAGCAGTCAGCTGAACCCCGAGTGCATGTTTTCATAGGAAGAGTATTTGGTCATAAAAGTCCTAGATCTGCCACTTCTTCCTATTAGTCATGGGATTGTGCATTTTGAAAAACATTCAACACTGTGTTCTAATGAGTGCATACGTGCTATTATTTGTGCTTTTAAGAAGAATCGTCCATGTATAGAAGTCATGGGATTGTGCATTTTGAAAAACATTCAACACTGTGTTCTAATGAGTGCATACGTGCTGTTATTTGTGCTTTTAAGAAGAATCGTCCATGTATAGAATTTTTTTTTTTTTTTTAGAACAGTATGTATGCAAAACTGTGAAGGCCTTAAGAGAATATGTAGTTGGTTGATTGTTTCTAAACTGTTCTAGAGTTGACTCTTTTATGGTCTTTCCTCTGGAAAACAACCAAGAAGGCCATAATCTCTCCTCCTTGAAAGTGAGAAGCTGAACAAGTTGCTCTTAATAGAAGATAGTGTTTAGCTATTCAGAATTCAGATAACTTAATTAGAAGATAGCTTAAAGTGTAAATGGGTTTTTCCTTTTAAAAGAAAACCTCTTCTTTTCTACAAATAGTGAGTTAGTTGAACAAACTCTTACATAGTATGTTACTTTTCTGTGCCAGGCACTGTTCTGAGTGTGGTAGTAGCATGTGATCCTCCTACCCACCCTGTTGACAGTGGCAGGCACGGAGAGGCTCAGAGTAGTTTCAAGCTTGTCCGGGTGCATACCTGGTGATGGGGGAGCCCAGGTCTGAACTCCCATGGCCTGGCTGCCTCCTGAGCTCTGTGATGACCTCAGTGGCCAAGCCTCCTGTCTCTGAGGTTCTGGTCAGGGAGCCAGACAGGCAGATGAACCAGTGCAAGGAAGTGCAGTGAGTGCTGTGGGGCATGCAGCGGCTACCCGGGGCACCTCCCTCCATGGCCTCTTCTCTGCCAAGTTTGCTTCTAGCAGTGGATTAGAGAATGTAGTGCTTTAGTTTTATTCCATGCAAATCTCCAGCACCAGTTGGTGAAAGGGATGTTACACACAGAAGACGTGGACATCAGAAGTCGAGGAACAATGTCCTGGTAGTTTTCCTACTTTCTACCACCCGAACCCTTGCACTGAAAGTTTCTTCATTGCACAAAGTAGCATCAAGAGAAACAAGTTCTGCAGTTATCTATATTTAACCTACCACAAAGTCAGCTTTGCAAGGCTGACATCAGCTAAAACTCAGTATCCTTAGATAGAGAGAAAGGCCACTCTTTTTGAAACTCTGGGCAAGAACCAGTGTTTTTTATTTATTGTTTAGAGATTCTTACCACTTATGATAACTGCATACAAATGGTGGAGTGTACACAATGATGGGAGTGTTCATAATATGCCACTTTTCATCAACAGGGTAACTCACTCTAAATTCCTGAAACAAAGCCATATCAGACTCATCACTCATCAATGAAAAGAGTAATTTAAAGCTAAGAAGTCTACAAAATGATTTAAATAAAATCCCTTGTAGTTAGCAAACATAGTTTATTTGTATCCATAGCATGTTTTTCTTTTTGAAATGGAGATATCAAATGAAAGCAATTCACCATGGGATGAGTTGCCCATCTGCTGGCTAAATTGTGAAGGCTTGTAGTAAATATTCTTGATTAGCATTGTGATTTGAAGGAGGCCTCCTACCTGGGACCTGCTTAATGAGGTGAGGAGGTGAGAGGCTGCAGGGTGATGGTGCTCAGAGAACAGTAACCGTGCTCAGCTACTTGTGAGATGACTGACTCTAGGTCCTGGGCTGCTTTCCTTGTGCCAGATTTTACCTGAAACCTTTCACTGATAGCAGCTCTTCTGGAAGGTGGGCAATGAGATACAGCTAGTCAAGGCCTTGGACTTTGTGTGGTTAATATTGCAGATCTCATACTTAAAGATCACCTGGGATACATTCTTCTAAACTTTGTGTTGTTGTAGAATCCCACACTTATTTAATGTTGATATAATGAAAAGTGTTCTATAAAATTACTATAGCTGATTGGTAATGGAAATCAAATGATATTTCATGTGTTTTTTATATGATGGCAGACTGTGTTTGTATACATTTTAGCTTATAGACAGGAAGAACCATGCTTCATGTTTTATCACTGCTTGGTTGGAATGAGATGCATAGTTCAGTTTAATAATTCTATAACATCCTTTGAGAAGTCTATAAATAAACTGGGCTCTGCCAGGCCAGCAGCACCCTCCATCACCCCTCACTTGGGAATGTTCAGAGCCCCTGCCATGCATTGCCCATACTTCAGACTTCCCTTCAATGGACATATCATGGCTCTCTCTTCCCTGGTCTCAAAATCTGCTTCTGCGACCTCTGATCTCCCTCCTTTTTCCCACAGAGGTCTAAAGCTGGAGGGGCCTGGTTCCTTCTTGTATCAGATTCTGAGTTCTCTTTGCACAGGGCATGTGTTGGAACTCAGTGATCAGTTCTCCAGGCTTGGGTCCTACAGAAGTTAAAAGAACTAAGGGAATTTTTAAAAACCCATTTCTCTCCTTGACAATGTCTCGTTTTAAGACCACTTTGACTGAACAAAGCCAGTCAGTGGCCTATTTGTTCTAAGCATCGCTGGTTCCTCCATCCTAGGTCCTGAAGCCTCATGGCTCAGCCTGGGAGGTGAAAGGCTCCAGGGAACCATAATTTAAGAGGAAAATAAAAACACGCCTGTTTGATAATTATTATTTATCCCCTTTATTACATAACACTCTTAAGCTGCCTCTATAAAAGGACCATATTTCCTTTTGTACTATAAATTTGAATTTCCCAGTACACTTTTAAAAAACTCAGACAGAAACCCAGTCCTATAAAGTGATGGCAGGTGCCACAGACACAGATTGTAGAGGAGTAGCCACTGGAGTTCTGATCGTTGTTACTGTCCTGACACAAGGCATGTGGGTTTTGCTGAAGTGCAAAAGGCACCAATAAGTTACCGTCAGGCACCAGTAAAGCTTCAGTGTTTGGGGTTGAGGGAAGTAAAACAACCCAGAGTTGGAGCTGCCCCAGTAACACATTCTACAGACAGACGGTCTGATTTAGTTCGTGTATTACGGAAGTACTTTTGGCGCAGAATTATTTTAATAGATCTTACACAATTCGTCATCTAAAAACAATTACACTTTGGCTTTAATGTGAAAGTACTAATAATTAAGCTGCTTATGTTCTGTTCTTTATTCTTTCGCAGAGAAAAAAGAATTATAAAACTGTTTAACCATTTAACTTTTTTTTTATTGAAATAGATGTTCATTTGGATTTGGAAGACCGCCTGGCAAAATTTATGAAGACAGAAGAAGCCATTATATACTCATATGGGTTTGCCACCATAGCTAGTGCTATTCCTGCATACTCTAAGAGAGGGGACATCGTGTTTGTGTAAATAATTTTTACTTACATTTCCAATCAAAATTCCTTTGGAAAGTGCTCGCTTTGGCAGCACATATACTAAAATTCCTTTGGAAATAGTATTGACCATCTTAGGGAATTCCTTCATTAGAAGTTACTTGCCTAAAATAATATTGATATTTTTGGTTGTTTTATTTTTAAAGAAATGTACAGTTACTGTAGCCAACTAATTCTACAGAATTTGTGAAACCTTCACCCTACGGATGCTTACAGGTGTTGGTATTCATTTAATCTGCCATTGTGATTTTACATACTGAGATCCGAATGAGGCCAGCCCTCTGCCTTCCCTGTGCAGCTCTGTGGCCCAGTGCCTCACTGCCTGGCAGAGTCGCTCCACTCTCGTCACCCACTCACCCTGAGCTCCTGGTCTCTGCTGCTCTTGCCTCATAGCTTATTGAGGACATGGGAACAACGAGCTGGGAACCTCCTCGACTACCCACACGCAGATCTACAAACTTGCGTGTCTGCATCTTGGGTGCATGGTGCTGCTGTTTACTGTGAAGGGAAAGGCAGAGAGGAGCTATACGGGGGTGGCATAGCCCAGGCAGCTGGTTATACCCACAGAAGCTTCTGCCAGTCCAGCCAGCCTCTGTCATCCTTTTGAGTGGACTGTTAAATGATTCTTTTAAGTTTAGGTCTCAGATTTACTTTTGTTTCTTTTCTTTTTTAACATAATAGCCAGAGTAATACTTCTGAAAAATGCAAATCTGATTATGTCACACTCCATTTAATACATATAAGAGCTTCCATTGTTCCTGAAATAAAGACCCAACTCCTTATTATGATCTCATGACTTCTAAACTAGCTTTTCAGGCTCATTTTGTACCATTTTCCTTCAGGTGCCCTCACCAGCCTTATATGCTGGTTTCCTCTCACTTCAGGGCCTTTGCACATTCTTGTCTCTATACATAGAATATTGTTCCTCCTCTCATTGCCTACTTAGTTCCTCTACACTCTACGTATACATCAACTCTCGCAAGGGAAGCCTCCCCAATCTCTCAGAGCAGTCAAGACCCCTGCTGCACGTGTAGAAAATTTTACAGCCAGAGAGAATATGGTACCCTCGAGAATCCATGCTCAGCAGGCACTGCCACTGCCCATCTCTATCACTCCACTTTCAAGCCTCCCTTACACATGCACACACACACACACACACACACACACACACACACAGACTTTCCCCTCTGCTCTCGTGCCTCACGTTCACTGCACTCTTCTTTTATAGCACTTGCAGCAGCCGGTATCTGTGTGGTTATTGGCTTCCTTTCCTTGCTGAGAGCCCATTGCTTAGGATAGTATTTACCATTTAGTGGTGCTCAACAAATCCAGGTCAGTGAATGAATGAGTGGAAGCTAGAGCTCAAGTGACTGAATGTTAGGCCCCTGCACTATCCCATTACTTATGACTCACCACTGGGACTCCTGCTTGTGCAATGGCAGAACCTTCCATGGCACTCAATGCAGAGCTGACTCTGCCTGGGGGTTTTCAGGGCACCTGTGGCCATTCCTCACCATGGCCCTGCAACAACCTGGGAGCGCTTCACAAATGCCCTGGGCCTCAACAGTATTGTGTTCTAATGTGACCGTGAAAATGAATAATTTTATTATTTTTTTTACACATAGTTTAAAAAAAATAAAATAATATGAAAGACATTAAAAACTTGAAAGCCATTGATTTAAGCAGGGTTTCTAAGTTTTTAGTAAAAGCATAGTTTTAAAAAACTGCAGTGTCATACAGTATCAGTTTATACAAACATGCCAGTATAAATTCCTTTTTAAGTCCAGAAAAAGTTTATGGTTACACATGAACTTGTATGCTTCCTTTGTCATATAATTAATGCTATGTTATCTTTTTGGTTTAACTGCTAGGAAACCTAGGCTAAATTCACTTCTGTGTGTTATACCCAGTGCCTTAAAACTTTAGTTTCCAGTGAGTCATTAGACATTTACTTATTCTCTTCTACATAATTTTAAATATAGTCTGCCTGAAATTTGTTTGAATGTAGGAGTGCTAAAGGTAAAAGTGGCCTTTGGTAAATTGGTTTGGATAATTCATTAGGCATAGACACTGTGTCTGATGCTTCATTTCCTTCTTTTTAGTAAGTGGTGGTAATGCTTTGCCAATAGTACATCTCAGCACATGGTTATTCTTGTACTTAAGTCTGTCCTGTCTCTCTGCTAAGTCTATGTTCATGTTACTTCATATGCTTTTTTTAATTAAACTTTTTATATTGAGATAATTGTAGATTTACAAGCACTTGGAAGAAATTATTCAGAGACTCTGTTTACACTTTACCAAATCTCCCCTAATGTGATAATCTCTTGCAAAACTAGCACAGTTTCAGAGCTGGAATATTGACGTACTTGTAGTCAAGATACAGAACATTTCTATGACAAGGTGTTGCCTCACCCAAGTCCCTCCCACCTTACCCACTCCTTAATCTCTGGCAACTACTAATCTAATCTGTTCTTCATTTCTATAATTTTGTCATTTCAAGAATGTTGTGTAGATGGAATCATACAGTAGGTAACATGTTGGGATTGGCTTTTTTCATTCAGTGTAATTCTCTGGTGATTCATCCAAGGGGTTGCTTGTATCATGAGTTCATGAGTTGGTTCTTTTTTTTTTTTTTTCTTTTGGCAGCTGGCCGATACAGGGATCCAAACCCTTGACCCTGGTTTTGTAACAATGCGCTCTAACCAACTGAGCTAACTGGCCAGCCCAAGAGTTGGTTCCTTTTGATTGCTGAGCAGTGTTCCATGGTGTGGGTGTACTGCAGTTTGTTGAACCACACACCCATTACGGACATCTGGGTTGTTTCTAGTTTTTGGCTGTTACAAGTAAAGCCGCTCAAAACATTCATCTACAGGTTTTTGTACGAACATAGTTTTCATTTCTCTGGGATGTATGCCAACAGGTGCAGTTGCTGGGTTTATGGTATTGCATGTTTAATTTTTTTTTTTTTTTCCTTTTTTGTCTTTTTTACTGACCGGTAACGGGATCGCAACCCTCGGTGTCGCGCCCGTACCGGGGACCGGCAACGGGATCGCAACCCTTGGTGTTGCGCCCGCACCGTGCTCAGCCAGTGAGCGGGAACTGGTCTACCACATGGGATCCGAACCCTCGGCGGAAGCGCCTCCGCACTCCCAAGCAGCGCATTAGCCAGTGAGCGGGAACCGGTCTCCACATGGGATCCGAACCCTCGGCGGAAGCGCCTCCGCACTCCCAAGCAGCGCACTCTCCAGTGCACCACCGGGCCGGCCCATTTAAGGAACTGCCAAACTGTGTTTCAAAGTGACTGTACCATTTTACATTCCCATCAGCAACAGTGTGTGAGAGATCCAGTTTTTCCATGTCCTTGATAGCATTTGGTGTTGTCACTTTATTTTAGCCAGCCTGATAGGTTTGTAGAGATACCTCATTGTGGTTTTAATTTACATTTCCCTATGGCTAATGATGTTGAACAGCTTTTCATATGCTTGTTTTCCCATCTCTTCAGTGAAATGTCTCTTTCTGCCTTTTGCCCATTTTCTAATTGTTTTTTTCCTGTATCTATATATTCATTGCTGGTAAATAGAAATACAGTTAATTTTTGTGTGCTGATCTTGTATCCCGCAACCTTGACAAACTCACTGTAAGTTCCAGTACTTTTTTTGTAGATTTCTTGGGATTTTCTGTCTAATTATGTTATCTGCAAATAGTTTTATTTCTTTTCTGATCTGTGTGACTTTTATTTATTTTCTGGGCTTACTGCACTGACTAGAGCTTCTAGGACTGTGTTAAGAGTAGTAAGAGCAGACCTCCACGCCTTATTCCTGATCTTAGAGGGAAGCATCCAGCCTTTCACCCTTGAGTATAATGTTAGCTCTGGGTTTTCTATAAATGCTCTTTGTCGTGTCCCTCTCTTCCAGTCCTATTTTCCTGAGTGTTTTTATTGTGAATAGATATTGAATTTTGTTGAACACTTTTTCTGTACTGGTTGATACAATTATGTGGCTTTTCTTCTGTAGTCTGTTAGTATGGTAGATTACATTGATTTTCAAATATTGAGCCATCCTTACATACCTAGAATAACACCACTTGGTTATAGTGTATAATTCCTTTTATGTGTAGCTGAATTCTATCTAACTTTTTTTTAAGGCTTTTTATATCGTTTTTATGAGGAATATTGTCCTACAGTTTACTTTTTTTGGTACTTTCTTTGTTTGGTTTGGTATTAGGGTAATACTTCATAAAATCAATTGGAAAGTGTTCCCTCCTTTTCTGTTTTTTGAAGCAGGTTATATAGAATTGTTTTTAATTCTTTAAACATTCGATAGAATCTTCAGTGAGACCATCTGGGCCTGGAAATTTTTTTCTTGGAAGTATTTTAATTATGAATTAAATTTCCTTAGTAGTTACTAGGCTATTCAAATGATCCATGTTGCATTGGGTGAGTTGAGGTAGTTTGTGTTTTTCAGCAGATTGATCCATTTCTTCTAAGTTGTCAAATTTATATGTGTAGCACTGTACATAGTATTCCCTTATGATTATTCTAATATCTGCAGGGTCTGTAGTGATATCCTTTTCCTTATTCCTGGCATTAGTAATTTGTGTCTTCTCTCTTTTTTTCTTTGTCAGTCTTGCTAGAGATTTGTCAATTTTATTGATCTTTTCAAAAAAATCAGCTCTCTGTTTCATTGACTTTTCTCTATTGTATTTCTTTCTTCACTTCTGTTGATTTCCTTTTTTTTTTTTTTTGAAGATGACCGGTAAGGGGATCTTAACCCTTGACTTGGTGTTGTCAGCACCATGCTCTCCAAAGTGAGCTAACCAGCCATCCCTATATGGGATCCGAACCTGTGGCCTTGGTGTTATCAGCACCACACTCTCCTAAGTAAGCCATGGGCCGGCCCTACACTTCCATTGATTTCTGCTTTATTATTTCTTACCTTTTGCTCANTTTTTCTTTGTCAGTCTTGCTAGAGATTTGTCAATTTTATTGATCTTTTCAAAAAAATCAGTTCTCTGTTTCATTGACTTTTCTCTATTGTATTTCTTTCTTCACTTCTGTTGATTTCTTTTTTCTTTGTCAGTCTTGCTAGAGATTTGTCAATTTTATTGATCTTTTCAAAAAAATCAGCTCTCTGTTTCATTGACTTTTCTCTATTGTATTTCTTTCTTCACTTCTGTTGATTTCCTTTTTTTTTTTTTTTGAAGATGACCGGTAAGGGGATCTTAACCCTTGACTTGGTGTTGTCAGCACCATGCTCTCCAAAGTGAGCTAACCAGCCATCCCTATATGGGATCCGAACCTGTGGCCTTGGTGTTATCAGCACCACACTCTCCTAAGTAAGCTAACCAGCCATCCCTATATGGGATCCAAACCTGTGGCCTTGGTGTTATCAGCACTGCACTCTCCTAAGTGAGCCATGGGCCGGCCCTACACTTCCATTGATTTCTGCTTTATTATTTCTTACCTTTTGCTCACTTTTGATTTATTTTGTACTTCTTTTTGTAGGTTTTGAGCTGGGAGTTTAGATTAATTTGAGATTTTTCCTCTTTTCTAATATATGCATTTAGTACTATAAATTTTCCTCTCAGTGCTGCCTTAGTTGTGTCCCACAAATTTTGATGTGTTGTATTTTTATTTTTATTTAATTCATTGCTTTTTATTGCCTTTAGACTTTTTCTTTGACCTATTGGATTATTTAAAGGTATGGTGTTTACGTTCCAAGTGTTTGGAGGTTTTAAATTTTGGTTTGCTTGATGGCTCACGAGGTAGTCTATCTTGGAATATGTTTCATGGGTACTTAAAAAGAGTGATTATTCCGCTGTTGTCTGGTGGAGTATTGTGTAAGTGTATTGTATAAGACTATTCAATCACATCTTGTTGGTTGATGGTGTTGTTGAGTTCTATATCCTTGCTGATTTTCTGTATAGTTCTATCAGTTGCTGAGTGAGGTACTGAAGTCTCCAACTGTAATTGTAGGTTTATCTATTTCTCCTTTCAGTTTTATCAGTTTTTTCTTCTCACATTTTGCAGCTCTGGTGTTTGGTACATATTTAGGCTTGCTGAGTTTGTTTGGAGAATGGTCCATTTTATCATTACATAATGTCCTTCTCTGCCTCTGGACATTTTTGTGTTCCAAAGTCTACTTTATCAGATATCCGTTTCATTATGTATTATTTATTTTATAGATATGCGTATGTATGTGTTTTCACTATGTAGTATATATATTTTTTTTCACATGTCATTATATTTGAAGTTAGTTCCTTGTAGACAGCATATAGTTGAGTCATGTCGTTTAATGCACTCTACCCTGTCTTCAAATCATGTATTTGTCCATGTACATTTAATGTAATTACAGATATATTAGAGTTTGATTCTGCCATTTTATTTTTTGTTGTTTTTCTCTCTACTTTTTTGTGTCTGTTTTCTATTTCCTGCCTTGCTGTGTTAATGGAACATGTTTTAGAAGTACATTTTTATTTATCTATAGTATTATTGTTTCTCTTTGTATAGCTTTTTAAATCATTGCTCTAAGTATTATATTATATATGTTCTCACAGTCTACTGGTGGCATCATTTTACCAGTTTAAGTATAGAAATATGTACCTTTTTTTATATCCTCTTATAAAGTTTTAAACATTTCCTACACATACACTGAGAACCAAATCACAGTGTTGTAATTTTTGCTTTGCCTGTCCAAAATAATTTAGAAAACTCCAGAGGAGAAGAAAAGCCTAGTGTATTTGCCCACATTTTTTATTTACTGTACCCTTTCTTCCTTCCTGATACTCTGAGGTACTCTAAGGTTCTTCTTTTAGGATTTTTTCCCTCCTTTCTAGTGTACTTCCTTTAGCCATTTCTTTAGAGTAGTTCTGCTAGTGACAAATTCTCTTAGGTTTTTTTTCCTTCAAGTGAGAATGTCTTGATTTCCCCTTCATTACTAAAGGATAGTTTTGCTGGTTATAGGATTCTTGATTGACAGTTCTTTTCTTTCAGCATTTGAAATTTATCATGACACTTTTTTTTGGCCTCCAGGTTTTCTGATGAGAATTCTCCTGTCATCAGATTGTTTTTTTCCTATATGTAAGGTGTCCTTTTTCTCTGGGTTTCAAATTTTTTTCTTTGTTAGTTTTCAGAAGTTTGACTGTGATGTGTTTTAGCATCTGTTTGTTTGGGTTTTGCTCAACTTCTTTAATCAGTTGCCAGATTTGGGGGGTTTTTAGCCATTATTATTTCTTTGATTATTTTTTTTAGCCACACTGTCTTTCTCTTCTCCTTCAGGACTCCAATGACATGAATTTTAGATATTTTATTACAGTACCACAGGTCCCTGAGGCTCTGTTCATTTCTTTCTAGACTATTTTCTCTGTTGTGCACAGTGACTAATTTCTGTTTTTATGTCTTTTAGTTTGCTGATTCTTTCCTCTGTCTCCTCCATTCTGCTGCTGAGCCCATCCACTAAGCTTCTTATTTTGGTTTTTCTTTTTCCAGTTCTAATATTTTCATAGGAGACTTCTTTGTATCTTCTACTCTGTGCCAGGCTCTCTATTATTTTGTTTGTTTCAAGTGTTTGTAATTGCTCATTGAAACATATATATCGTATATTGTAGCTGTTCTAAAATCATTACTGCCACAGGGAGGTGTGGTACAGGGCTCCTACTTGGCCTTCACTGACACCCGAGGTGGGGTTTCTTTCCTGCTGGGCGATGGTGGCAGTCCTGACTCTCCACTAGGCCTGCTGCAATACCGCCCAAGCAGAGATTGGGAGGGTGCCCCATTACTGCCACACAGGGGTGGAAGTTTGGGCTCTCCTCGTGGTCTCCATGACACTGCACTGAAAGCAGGGGGGATGTTTGTTTATTATTGGTATTATCAGCCGGCGGTGATAAAAGTCCAACCCCCTACTTAACCTTGTTTGATACTACCCTGTGAGGGGTGTGGGAGTGCCTGTTGTAACCTCTGAGGAGTTGAAGTCTAGGTTCCCTGCTCAGCCTCTCCGGTGTGGATGGGGTCGGGGACCACAGTTTTTCTCTGTAGTATCTGACTACAGTTGAGTGGTATTATCCAAAAGTTTCCTGTCCAGGTGAGCTGCCAGTATTGCTTCTCATGGCAGAGGAGAATGTGTCAGTCACATTAGAGATGCTACCGATGTATGTAATCTGATACGCCATCCATACTAGGATGTGTACTGGTTTCAGAAAGGTTAAAGTATGGCAAGGGTTTGCCTTTTGCAATAGAGTATATATGGTGGTTACATGAAAAGGACTTCCAGAGTAAGGAGCGAACAGTGACATATGCATTTTCAAACATGTTTTGTTTATTTGCTGTGTTCACATTAACAACTGGAAGTTGGTCACCTTAGGAAAGCAAGCATTCCTTTTCTGAGAATGTTGACAGGGCCTTTTAAACTCTGATTTGGTGGGTCTCTCTTCCTTGCAGAGATAAAGCTGCCTGCTTTGCTATTCAGAAAGGATTACAGGCATCACGTAGTGACATTAAGTTATTTAAGCATAATGATATGGCTGACCTGGAGCGACTACTAAAAGAACAAGAGGTCGAAGATCAAAAGGTATGATTCTTCTGAGGAAAATAATACAGTTCTTTTGTACTTCCTGACCAGCTAAATTATATATGAAATGGTAATTTGTCATGAAAACTTGCCTGAGGATCACATTTGGATATTAAATAAGGGTGTTCCTACTTATTGAAATGTACTTCATATTGGAGAGCCAAGTCTGATTGTAATTGCCTTGTCATTGCCATAATTATATGTAGCAAATTTGGAAGGAGGTAATCCAGGCAACTTTCTAAGAGAGATGGTGGGAGGCGCCCAAGCGTGCACCAGGTGAGTAGAGAAGATGCATACTCCCAACTCTGTCTAATAACACCAAAACTCATTAGACCTCTAATGAGATATACCTAGTGAATTCAAAATAGGCTTATTCATATAAAAAAAAATCATGTACCAATTACATGGAGGAACGACTGGCATCAGATCTTGTTAATTTATGAACAAAGTGAGACCCTTCCTCCCACTGCACCCACCTTTATCCTGGAGCTCTGAGCTGATATACCTAGTGAATTCAAAATAGGCTTATTCATATAAAAAAAAATCATGTACCAATTACACGGAGGAAAGACTGGCATCAGATCTTGTTAATTTATGAACAAAGTGAGACCCTTCCTCCCACTGCTCCCACCTTTATCCTGGAGCTCTGAGCTGCTGCTGCCTGGAGGAAACCCCTGCTGCAAACATGGTCTTCTTCTGTCTTGCAGTCCTATTTCCAGTTCTTCCTTCCCAAGAACCTCCATAGCCCCTGGTAGTGGTGGGTTGGAAAGTAGCTCCTTGATGTTCTGATGAAAGAGTAGAACAGAGAAAGTGAGATCAAAGTAGCACTGTTAGAATTACAATGTATTTTCCCCTGAAGACAGGGATGGAAAAGACATTTCTGGCCTGTGGTTGTGCAGCAGGACACCATGGGGGGTGTGGACTGTGCTGGGAACCTGGTCAGTACATCCTTTTTCTCAAACACCACTTTCAAGTTGATTTTGCTGACACAGCTCATTCATAACTAGAAAACCAGTAAAAATGCTCATTGTGTTCTTTTGTTTTAATTTCCATTTTCCCACATATTTGCATTATTCATTTAGGATTCTGTCATCTTTGCTTAGGTGTCAGCCTGAGTGTGACACTTCATGAATACACACATTCTCATGATGAATATGCATGGACTCACTGTTTAATGCTAGATGTGCTATAAACCAGTGTTTCATATTTACGCAATCTAGGAAAATCTACAGGGAACATCTTACAATTGAGACTGTTTCACTGATTAATTTTTTTCCACAATAAATTTTAAGATGTCTCTTATTCTGATTCAGTAATAGAATGCTAGCCACTAGACTGAAGAACACTACCTTGGAAAGTATGATTGTGAGCCAGTTTATTTTGCCAAATTAGTATTGTCCAAAATTAAGTATCTTGAAATTTATTGCTACTTTATCACTTTTACTTTGTTACTATTCAATTTATACCCCGTTTTCCTGCCAAGAGTAGGCCTTCTACTGTAACTTTACGTTTTGGTGTTTAGAAATACCTTTTCAATTTCATTTTCACATAAATAACAAATCCGATGAACTTTTTTACTGTTTTCTACCTGGATACAAATACCTTTACTTTGAAAGTGACTTAAAATTTTACTGTTTAGTCCAGGTTTGGATCGTATTTTGTCAGTTTCCCAAGTGTTGTGGTTCAGAGATTTTTTTCATCCTTTTTCTTACAGGGTTCTGTGTTAATCCTTCTAAAAAAAAAAGAGAGAGAGAAAAAGAATGGCTAGTAAATATGAACAGCCGTGACAGAAGGAATACATTATGAACAAGTGAATAGTAGGCTGGCCTCACTAATGGTTAAGGGAGTTAAGCTAGGAGTTTTGCCTGTCAAATTAAGGCACGTTTTTAATAGTAATAATCAGTGCCAACGCAAGTGTGAGACAGGATACTCCTGTGATATTGGGAAGAGTTTAAATCAGCACCACCCTTCTAGAAGGTAAATGGGCAAATGTATTCCAGGATCTTTAAGTATCCGTACCCTTTGACCCAGACCTGGAGTGTTATCTTTAAAAAATCATCAAAAATGGTGTCAAAGATTGAAGGATATTCACAATGTGGTATAAAAAAGCAAAATGAGGGAAACAATGTAAATTCAACATTAGGGGAATAAGTTTATGGTTTATCCACAACATAGAACATTTCCATTAAAATCATTTTTTAAATAATACTAAATGTGGAAATGCTCACAATGTAATGTTTTTTAAAAATCAGGTCCTAAATTATTACAGTAAAATCCTGATTTTGAACAAAGTCATTTATAAATATATGTATATATAGGAAAGACAAAAACTGCCTCTGTGTGGTATGACCAGCTAATTTTTAAAATTCTTTTTTGTAATTTTCTCTTTCCCAAGATTCCTACCATGAATATTTAAAAATCATTTAAAAAAACCACTTTATTTTTAAAAAGGCATGAAGAGGCAGGATGCTCCCATGTCAGAGTGAAGGTGACCTCTCCTCATCATCGACTCCTAACAGATGCGTATTGCTAGCTCTGAGACACTCAGTTTTCAGTTGATGGAGAGAGTGAAGGTGATTGAGCAACCTCAGCGATGTATAGCTGTGATGTCAGAGTGAAGGTGACCTCTCCTCATCATCGACTCCTAACAGATGCGTATTGCTAGCTCGGAGACACTCAGTTTTCAGTTGATGGAGAGAGTGAAGGTGATTGAGCAACCTCAGCGATGTATAGCTGTGTATACATCAAACATATCTTTTTAACAAACACTTTTTTTTTCTTTAGTGTTAGAGTTTTGGGTTCTAAAATACCCCTTAAAAGCGTTGCTCTGATACTTGAGTTTCTAATTGTCCTTTGGAACAGAAGCTCAGAAGCAAGAAACCTTTGACTAGGAAGGTAGTCACAAACTCACCTTGGATCTCAGTATTTTTTCAGTCCAGCACAGCTAAAGCATCTCCTCTACAGATCTAAATGTATGAGAGGTTTATTAGTGACTTGCTGTGACTTGACTTGTGGGGAGGTGTGTGTTGTTTGAAAGCCCCTCCACCCTACCACTTAGGAACATCACTGAACAAGGTCATAGGAGGAGTGAGAGAGGAAAAGGCTTTCATCTGTTTTTTGTAGGTGAGGGAGAGCAGGGTTGGTTTGTTTTTTAACTTTTTATTAGGGAAATTGCCAGCACATGCAAAGGAAACACAGTAGTTTAGTTAAGGCCCCTGCCCCCTTCTCCCAGCCTTGGCGTCAACATTGCACCATTCTAACACCGTCTGTACATCCACCTGCTTTTCACCCCATCTCCGTGAGGTTGATGAGCTTCATTATAGCTTTTCTACTTTTAGGTAAAATTTACAGAGGATGTATACATTGAAATGTATACATCCTAGCCGTACAATTTTGACCAATGGTTATACCCAGATAACCTAGGAATCATGGCCCCATCATGATATAAAACTTTCCCCATCTCTCCAGAAAGTTCCTTCGGGCTCCTTCCCAGTTATTCTGGGGTTAGAGAGTTTTCTTTGTGTTTTAATATTCTCAGAGTACCTAAATAGTCTGCTCTGTATGTGTGTGAGGTATCTAGTTGATGTGAACTGAAAAACATGTCTGAGAGAAGAAAGCCTTGCTGTTCATCTCAAAATAACCAGATTTCAAACACCAAGCTTTAATTTATTCAGACTATGTTTTTATAAATAAATGTTGTAAAGTGAAAGTGCTAAGTAGTAAGTGGCAGATTTTGTATTTGGAGTTACTAAAATTTAAGATACCTGGTTTTTTCTTTTAAAGAATCCTCGCAAGGCTCGTGTAACTCGACGTTTCATTGTAGTAGAAGGATTGTATATGAATACTGGAACTATTTGTCCCCTTCCAGAATTGGTAAGCAACCGTGTTTAGTCATTATTTTAGAATTTGGATTATTTGGCCTTTTGTTTATGAGCACTTTTAATGTGTGATGTCCGCACCACTTTGCACAATAGATATCATGAGCATATTTTGATCATACCAGGGAAGTAGATTAACATTAAGTGCCGATGTTGGCCTTTAAAGAGTAATCAAGACTTAGCTTTTAAACGAACTTTATTTTTTAAAACCGACTTTACCCCTTACCCGACTTTATTGAGGCAAAATTGACATAATAAAATACGCAGAACTGGGATTAAAGTCAGGAGTCCACATCCTTCCTTCCGTATTTTATAAAATAACCTAATTATTATTATTATTATTATTATTTTCCTTTTTGTCTTTTTTTTACTGACTGGTAATGGGATTGCAACCCTCGGTGTCGCGCCCGTACCGGGGACCGGCAACGGGATCGCAACCCTTGGTGTTGCGCCCGCACCGCACTCAGCCAGTGAGCGGGAACCAGTCTCCACATGGGATCCGAACCCTCGGCGGGAGCGCCGCTGCGCTCCCAAGCGGCGCACTCTCCAGTGCGCTACTGGGCTGGCCCAAAATAACCTAATTATAAAGCCCCTACAATACTCAAAGGGAAAGAAGGAGGAATGAATATAGGAGAAGTTTCACTGTTTGTTGAACTAGAATTCTTCCTCCCACCCCCTTTAATTATCTTTTTCAGCCTCCATGCAGTTATCCTCAACAGCCTTCAACTACAAATGATGTTGAAGACTTGGATTTGAAGAAGGATCTGTGAAGCTGGATTTGGGAGATAGTGACCTAAAGAGATTCTCCCTGGAGGTTGAAAGAGAGAGGCAGAGCTTTGTGACATCACTCACGATGGAACGGATCTGCTGGGAGTTGCCCTCTGAAGTCTCCACACTCAGGGCAGGAAGGGTTACAATCACCAACCACATGGCTGTGCCATTTTAAGTCCCTGTCAGCCACATATGAGGGTCCCAGTTCTCCACGTCTTCGCCAACTCTTGGTATTTTCTGGGGTTTTTGTTTGTTTGTTTTAGCCATCCCAGTAGGTGTGAAGTAGTGTCTTGTGGTTTTGATTTGCGTTTCCCAAATGACTTTTCATGTGTTTATTGGCCATCTGTATATATTTGGAGAGATGTCTGTTCAAGTGCTTTGCCCATTTTTTAATTGGGTTGTTTGTCTTTTTGTTGTTAACTTATGAGAGTTCTTTCTTTATTCTGGATACTAGACCCTTATCAGATATATGATTTGCAGGTGTTTTCTCCCATTAAGTGGGATTTGGTTTCACTTCTTTGATAAGTGTCTTTTGATGCACAAAAGTTTTTCATTTTGAAGAAGTCCAATTTATTTATTTTGTTGTTGCTTGTGCTTTTGTGTCATATCTAAAAATCTTTGCCTAATCCAAGGTTATAACGATTTACTCCTTGGTTTCCTTCTAAGAGTTTATAGTTTTTGTGCTTACATTTAGGTCTATCATTCATTTTGAGTTAATTTTTTATACACTGCATTGTAGGGATCCAACTTCATTCTTTGGCTTGTAGTTATCCAGTTGTTCCTGCATCATTTGTTGAAGAGATTTTTGTTTTTCCACTGAAAGGTCTTGGCACCTGTACTGAAAATCAATTGACCATAGGTGTATGAGTTTCTGGACTCTTTATTTTGTCTGTCTGTTATGTCTGTCCTTATGCCAGTACCTCAGTCTTAATTACTGTAGCTTTGTGTAGTAAGTTTTGAAGTCAGCACATGTGGGTTTTGTGCATTGTTCTTTTCAAGATTGTTTTAGCTATTTGGGGTCCCCTGAAATTCCATTTAAATTTTAGGATCCGCTTTTTTATTTCTGTAAAAACTGCTCTTGGGATTTTGATAGGGATTGCATTGAATATGTAACTCAGTTTGGAAAGTATTGCTGTATTAATGATACTAAGTCTTCCAATCTGTGAACATAGGATATGTTTCCATTTATCTAGATCTTTAATTTGTTTCAGCAGTGTTTTGTAGTTTTCAATGTACAGTGCACCTCTTTGGCTAACTTTATCACTAACTATTTGATTCTTTTTTATTCTATTATAAATGGAATTGTTTGCCTAATTTTCTTTCCAGATTGTTTACTGCCTGTTACAGAAATGCAACAGATTTTTGTGTATTGAACTCGTATTGTGTAAATTTTGCTAAATTCATTTATTAGCTCAAATAGTACTTTTGTGGATTTTATTCTATATATGATCATGTCATCTGTGAATAGTTTTACTTCCTTTCCAATTTGGATGCCTTTTATTTTTCTTGCCTGAACTAGAGGTGACAAAAGTGGGCATCTTTGTCTTGTTACTTATTTTAGAGGGAAATCTTTCAATTTTTCACCATTGAGTATATTAGCTGTGAGTTTTTCATAAATACCCTCTATTAGCTTGAGGAAGTTCCTTCCTATTCCTAATTTGTTGAGTTTTTTCAATCGTGAGAGGTTGTTGGATTTTGCCAAATGAGTAAGAATTCAAAATAAACGTTTCATATGTTATTTTCAAAGTTTTTCACTATTCTGAGGAAATCTAAATACATTCTAAATATCAATAAAAGGGATCTATTTGTTCACTTTTCCCTGCGTTTTTGTAAGATTGCTGAGATTGATAGAATAATGTGGGAGGCAGTGGTCCAGAAGATACGAGAACTGTAGGTCATAGGGCTGCAGTAATGAAGCAGTACTGCGGGACACACACACAGACAGAGCAGTGGACAAAACGCAAAGTGTGGGACAGATCGAGTATGTGCAGTGTTGAGAACATCAAGATGATGGATACACATTAGGGTTTGACTCTGGGATTCCCTTTGTGTTTCACTATTTGTCTGTCTGTCAGTACTGTTACATTTTCTAAAACATGAGTTTTAGAAACTTGATAATATTCATATCAAGGGATGGAAAAGAGTCAATGTTGAAAAGATGTCATTCTTCCTAGATTAGTTTTTTCATTGTTAATGAAAATCCAGCCAAAAGCCCAGTGGGACCTCTCCCCCCTCATTTGACATTGATTAGCAAGAATCAGTGATTCTTGATTAGCCAGTAAAATGTTGCTGATTAAAATGTAAATTATCAGAGACTTGTAATGTGGGATATCAAACTATCTTACACATTCTGTGCATTATTTCTATAGTTTCAGTAGACAAAGGTCTTTGTAATTAAACCTTCAATAATTGAAGATGTGATTCTGGCACCCAGAAAAGATAACATGAGTAAGAGGAAGATTGCGAACCCAACAGCTTCTCATGTTATGTATGTAAAAATGTAGTGGTTGGTGACTGCTGTATTTTAATTTAGTTATGAAACTTATTATGTAAAAATAATATATGGTTAAATCAATTATACGTTAGGAAAAAAAATACCTATACACAAGCTTACATGTATCAACTTCCTAATTGGCTGTCAGATTGTGTTTTGTTTTTGTTTTAAATGACATAATTAGAGCATATAGATAAATATGCACCTAGACTCTTGATGAGAAAGGACGTTCTTACAAGCCTGAAAACAAAGGTAAATAGACTTAATAATAATAACAAAAACTTTTTCTGCATTTAAAAAATATTGTTAATCCAAATTAAAACAGATCCACTGAGGGAAGAAGACCTACCTTTCCCAGGACTTTTTAATGTTTAATCAGACTACTGTTTAGCAGGTAGATTACATGTCTATAGCCATAAATATTTTAACATTTCCTTTTTTAAAAAATGGGTATCATGCTGTCTCTATTATTGAGTTGAACTGAATCATTTTAGAGCATCTAAAGCACAGTCCGTTCTCGTTATTCACAGTACTTACGTTCTATGAAGTTGCCACAAACACAGAAATAGAGATTACTGAGCTACTGCTTCTAAGGCAAATATAGGGTTAGATTTCTGCCAGCTTCTGGTCACAACATTTTGTAAGCCGATCAATACATAAGTTATTTTATGTGTTTTTCTATTTAAAGACACTACTTCCTATCTATTGTTGATTCATTACCATTGAACCAACCAAAAATGCAACAAATATGGCAATAAATAGGCCATGAAAAGGACCCTGTTTACAGTATCAGGGCTGAAACAGTTGAACCTCCGCTGGAAATGTGCATGTCCAGTAACTCAAATTCCTCTTCACTTTACACATGCACATGTCTGCAAATGAATGAAGGAGTACCCCGAGGATTGACTTTGGGCTTACAAATAAATTGTAACAAGTAGGTGAATTCGCAAACACAGAATCTGTGAATATTGAAGTTCACTACATTACACACTTTTTTTATTTTAAGTTTAATATTTTTCTTTGCAATATGTTCTATATGCTGCTAATCATCGGTATTTTAAAGTTTTGTTTTATATAACACTTAGGTTAAGTTAAAATACAAGTACAAAGCAAGAATCTTTCTGGAGGAAAGCCTTTCGTTTGGAGTCCTAGGGGATCATGGCCGAGGAGTCACTGAGCACTACGGAATCAGCGTAAGTTCTCCTTTCTGGGAACATTTCCCCTCACCAAGGAAACATGTAGCTCCATTCTGCTAGACAGATCTGCGTAGGCTCAAGACAATGCTCCTCATCATTTGGGGGGTCATGAAACTTTGATGTCTGTCACCTCACTGAGTCCAGGGTGAACCTGGTCAGCCAGACCAGGGCCCCATCTTCCCTCTGAACCTGTAAACTCAAAGTGGCTACTTGTGGAATTTGTGTTCTATTTACATGGTAGCATTTGATGTTGGCTTTTAGTGTCTCTACAAAAATTTAAATTTTGCTTCCATTTATTTCTTAAAATCTTTAAGAATTCCCTAAGTAGTCCTTTAAAAAGTATTTATGATGGCAGTGAAAGGATGGTCTTTCTAATATTTAAAATTGTGTGTTCCATGTAATTTGTGGGTTTGTGGGTGGTAGGTACAGTTATACCTTGGTTTTAAAATATATATAGCGTCAGAATACCACTGGCAAGGATTCAGCAAAGCCCTTCAAGGTCCCAAACAGTTGGAGTGAGTTTGTCATGTGTCCTTTTGCTGAAGGGAAGTGGACCCAGACCGCCTACAGTGCTTGGTGAGCTGGGCTTCTGGAGCCTCTGGGCAGAGTGAAGTCAGCCAGTCTTTAGCACCTGCCTTTACTGACCACCATGGGTAGAGTTACAGGAAGATTTTTCTCCAGTTACAGGTTATATGCATAAAAGCTTTGCCACCTGTGTTACAAAAGTGAACTGTAAAATAAATCACCTTAGATTATCTGTGTCCCACTGCCCATACAGTCCTGGAGAAAAACTTCAGAGCATAGTGAATATCATATGATGTTGGAAGGAAGCACACTCTTCCCGGACAGACTGGCATTCGGCAATTAAATGTACTGAGGAACTTAAGATAAATGGAAACGTACTTCAAGCACATCTAGCAGTACACTAGGGCCATTTTCAAGGCATGAAAATGTTGAAAAGGAAAAAACACTAACTTCACTTTCTGGTTTTCTAAATGCTTTTCGCAATTGTCAGTGAGATAATATTCACGAGAACCGAAGAGTAAGAGTGCAGAATGTATGGATTCATTTGGATCCTGATTCAAACAAACGTTGTTGGGGGGGAGGGAGCAACTTTGTAAGGGAATCAGAGATATTTGCACACTGAATGTTGGATGATATTAAAAAGTTGTTAATTATTCAAGTGTTATAATAGTTTTATGATTATGTTTTTGAAAGAGTCTATGTCTTTTAGAAATACACACTGAGATATCTGTAGATGAACCCCTGCGAAGTCTAGGGTTTGCTGTAAAGAAGTGATGAGGGCAGTAGGGGTTGTGGATGAAACCGGGTTGGCCTTGAGCTGATAATGACTGAATCTAGGTGAGGGGGATCCTTGAAATTTTTCATATAAAAGGTTAAATTTTTTTGAAAAAAAGCAAGAGTGCAGAGGCTTCCCTGTTAGATCTGTGGAACACTTAGAAAACATCAGATGTAATCTGAGGAGCCATTGTCATGGCCATCAGTAAGTAATTATTGAATGCCTACTGTGTGCCCAGAATGGAACCAGATGCGGGGGGCCAGAGCAGCAGATGAGGACCAAAGGGAGAGGTGCTGAGGGGCTGGAGAGAAGCCCACGCACATCAGCTCCATCCACCCCCTGGCCATGTGGCCCAGTCTGGTCATAGATTCCATTGCCATGATGTTTGGATAAATTGATTTTATTTCTGGAATGATGAAAGGCAAATAGGAATAGAGTGCTCAAAACTTTGATAGATTTATTTTATTTATCTCAAGTACCTTCTATGAGCAAGGCCAGCTAGACCACTGTTTTGGTAAGGAAATAATCCTTTTTTGTACCTCTGTTTGTTTTTAATATCAGACAACTTTGTATTTCATGTCCTTTAAAATTTATGTATCTCTTCCACTGTGAGTAAAGTGTCAATGCATGATGACGTGGCAAAAAAGTATAAAACGATGGGCCAGGAAACCACAGCCCGTTCAGCAAATGACTTTATATGGTTCGTCGTTTGTTTTCGTGGAGGTTTGTTTGAGTCCAGATGTTAGCAGGCATGATTAAAGCTGAAATTTTGTCTCTAGACTTGACGTTGGCCTTTTTTTTTCTTTAAGCTGAGGAATAACTATTGTCCTCTCACGCTTCTCCGGCAGATTGATGATATCGATCTTATCAGTGCCAACATGGAGAATTCACTTGCTTCTGTTGGAGGTTTCTGCTGTGGCAGGTCTTTTGTAATTGACCATCAGGTGGGTTCTTTTTAAAACAAAAGCAAAAACTGAAACTGATGGCTCTGTTGGTCACCTCAAAATATAACTTCAAAATACAAAATTTTACTTGAACTTAGTTTATCACAAATTTTATTTAAAAGTCAATTTTTAAAGACTCTTTCAAAAAGTTTATATGTAGACATTATCTCCCTGTTAATAAAAAATCATGTTTTTGTCGCGTGTATAACATTTATTACTGCTGGATCTTACCCCCTCACCACGTGTGCACGCTGTTCAGCAGGTGGTGTAGAGAATCGGTGCCTTTCAAATGTTTACCTAAAAAAGACAGAATGTGTATGTTTTTAACATGTTCGTTTCTTCTCAGCGACTCTCCGGCCAGGGATACTGCTTTTCAGCTTCATTACCTCCCCTGTTAGCTGCTGCTGCCATTGAGGCCCTCAACATCATGGAAGAGAATCCAGGTATGTTTTAAACCCAGGAAATCAGAGAGATCTCGGGTTATGTTAACCATGTTATTAGTTTGCCTTTTGGAGGAATTAGCTAGAGGAAATTATTTACCAGACAAAACTCTAGCTTTGAATGACATTGCCTGGCATTTATAGGAAGAATGCAGTGAAGAGCTGTCCCTGCCTCGGGGACCAGGTTAGAGCTTCTCTCCTGAGCTGGAGCCCAAGTGTGCTTACCTCCTTCAGTGGGCTAAGATGCTGGGAGGAGGGGCCCTCAGTCAGTTCTGAACCTAAATGATTCCATTGTGTAAATAAGCCAGTTGTTGTTTGCTTTATAGTTTTTTGAGAAGTTAGATGAAGCGTACTGCTTTTTGATCTATGTAATTTTGTAACTATATTTACAGCCTTTGAATTATCATAAATAAGCCAGTTGTTGTTTGCTTTATAGTTTTTTGAGAAGTTAGATGAAGCGTACTGCTTGTTGATCTATGTAATTTTGTAACTATATTTACAGCCTTTGAATTATCCATTGGTGCTTACTGGGCAAAACAGAAAGTCAACTAAGAATTTAAAATGTGGCCTTTGGCTGTGATAGAGCCACCATAGCAAAGCTTAAAACGGATATGGAGAAGCAGGCCTTACCTGGTATTTCTGAATTTTCAATGTTGATATTAATTCAGAGAATCAGAAAATGAGTGTGTCTGTGTGTACAATCATGCGCTGGCTTGTCAGATGGCCTGGCACTTCCACCTCCTGATCAGAGACTTTAGTTTCTGAATTTTCTTTGATTAAAAGGAAAATGTCAAGAAAACTAAAAATTACTTTACTACAATTGATTTTTTACCAAACTGTTTAGGATCAAGAAATAAGTAATAAGTATGTACCCTTTTATTCTTAGCCACTTTATCTGTAGAATCTTAATAAGAACAAGAGCCATTGTTTTACTTGGAAAGCACCATCCCAGATTCTGCTGAAAGTAGGGTAGCAAGTTGAGAAGGAGCCTCCGAAGATAAAGCTTGGGCCTTCAGAGGCATGTCAGCGACTGGCGCCCTGTTAGCATGTAGAAGGAGTGGCAGCATTTTAAAAGGATGACCTTGAACTGGGCCGTTAAAAATATTTTTTAGGTTAGTATTATCAGATGTTCCAAATACACTAGCAAATGTATTTTTTTCATGCAGGTATTTTTGCAGTGTTGAAGGAAAAGTGCAAACGGATTCACAAAGCTTTACAAGGGTAAGTTTCATAGATTTTCAACCAAGATAAAGTTTATCTGCACCACACTTAAACAGCTAATGAAAAGCCTTGAATTTGATAGGATTGGGTCAGTTTGAATGAACTGAAACCAAGAAACCAAAAACTTAGTTTACTCACACTGATTTATTTGTATAAAACCAGAGCATCCGTTTTGTCATTGTTTTAAAGAATCATGACTTTGTCTTTCTAAAAATGAAAGAAACTTATTAATAAAATATTATAGCAGTGCAGAGGGTACAAAGATAAAAATAACAACCCAACATCGTACTACTAGAAATAACGAGGGTAAACATTGGAGCATCTCTCCACATCTGCACAGATAAGAGGATATGATTATGTGTTTTGTAGTTAGATGACAGTGGGTTCATACTATCCATGTTACTTTTTAGTAAGTTACTAAGTTTTAAGACAAGAAAAAAAAAGAAGTAAAATTGAAATGAATCTTTTGTGTTTGGTTTTTTTTTTTTTTAAGAAACTAGACAAGAGTAGTTCTTTAAGATTCCTCTAGAATTGAGTAAAAAAACTGAGGTGGTAACATTTTCAGGCAGATTTCTGGTATTATAGAAAGTGAGCTCACATTGATTCCCCAAGGTGCTTCTCTTTGCCTTTCCTAAGGTGAAACTTGCCCTCTCAGTTGTGAAAGCTCTAGCTTTGTTGCCACATATGGAAACTAGAGACTTTACTGAAAGAAAAGAACAATTGAGAAATGAGTAGATCACAGCTGTTCCAGGTAAAGTAGAGGCAGAGGCAGTTAAAGTCCTGGGTGTGTCTGTATGATAACAACAGAAGTTCTTGCATAGTTTATGTTAGATATATTTGTATTGGTATCAGTAACATTGCTTTGTGAAATATTAATATACCAACACAGCTGAGCACTTTGGAGGCACTGTGAATTCATCAACAACAATTTCAGATGCCCTTTACTCCGTCTGGTGGTGGTAACACGTTCTTTTCTAAGTTCCATCCTCCACCTTCCCCAGCTCTGTCACACCTTTTCTTCTTTCTGAAATCCTTAACCCTCTGTCTTCACCCCAGCCACTTTCAGCTAACAGCCTTGCCTCATGCTGTCACTTGGGAACTCCCTCGTTTTTCCCAACAAATCTATGCATCTATGGGTATCTTAACCCGTATTCTCTCCTGTTGTAGCCAGAGAAGTGTTCTTTCAGCCATCATAGGCCCTTTTTTCTTAAGGACCAAGAACCTTTGGTTGTCCCCTTTGCTTTGTCTTCAGTCTGTCCACTTTCCTGAGTCATTTCATTAGCATTCAAGTTCACGTTACCCTTTCTTGTCATTAAATTTTTCTTGCTCATGACTCCACATTCCCCTCCACCAACTACCCCATTTCTTTGCTTCTCTTTGTAGCTAATCTTCTCAAGATTTGTTTATGCTTTCTCCACATCCTCATCTCTCACTTACCTAGACACTACTGAGACCTGGCTTCTACTCTTGCGACTTACCCACTGTACCTGTGGAGGTCCCCAGTGACTACCTTGTGCTAAATCCAGTGGACCATCTGCAGAGCTCATCTTGTTTATGTGTCAGTAGCTTTTAGCACAGGTGACCACTCTTTCCTCCTCTGAATTCTGCTACACCGCACTTCTGGTTTTCCTTCTTTGTCTTTGAATTGCTTCATTTTGGTCTCCTTTAAAGGCTTTCTTTCAATACCCCACCCTTCAGGGCTTAGTTCTTGGCCCTCTTTATTGCTTCATTTTGGTCTCCTTTAAAGGCTTTCTTTCAATACCCCACCCTTCAGGGCTTAGTCCTTGGCCCTCTTCTCATTACCTTGAAAAATTGCCTCTTCCACACCCAAAGTTTCAAATCGTTTCATGACACCTCTTTGTGGACAACTGACAAATGTGTATCTCCACTCTATACCACTCTTTAGGGCCTCTGGTCTCACATCTAGTTGCCTGTTTGGTGCCCACACTTAGAGGATTCCATAAGCACTTCATATTGAACACTCACTAAAAGAGGTTTGGGAACAAATCATGCAGATATCTAGATGGTTAGAGGGAACAACAGATGAAACAGCAAGGCTGGTGTGACGAGAGAGGAGAAGCGGGGGAACCTAGCAGATGAGGGCCAGGTGATGGGCCAGACCTCACAGGGCCTTGTAGGCCATGACAAGAACCTTGACTCAGGTAGGACGCCATGGCATGGTTTTGAGCAGAAGAGTGACATGGCATGGCTGAAGTTATGTCTTAGCAAAATTACTTCTGCAAAGTACAAAAAAATGTGTGATGATAAGAAGAGAAGCAAGGAAACCAGTTGGTGATGACTGTGACCTTCGTAGTAGCAGCAAGAAATGTTTGGATTCCAGATAATTTTGAAGGAAAATCCATCTGGACTTGCTAGAAGTTCGTATGCAGGGTGAGTGAGAAAGAGAAGACTCCGTTTGATCGTAGGGTTTTTGGTGTGAGCAGCTAGATTGAATTGCTGGTGAGTGAGACAGGCAGAACTGTGAAAGAAACTTGTTGGGGAAGCTCAGTGCTGGATATGTTGAGCTTGAAATGTCCATCAAACACCGAGTGGAGAACAGCAGTTGGACGTACAAGTTTGAAGTTTGAGAGAAAGTACAGAGCTAGAGAAAATTGGGGGGTTATTAGCATATTATGAAGAGGTCAGGAATCAGCCAAGGAGACCAAAAAAGAGTGGCCAGTCAGGAAGAGGCAAACCAGAAGAGTCTGGGGTCCTGGAAGCCGTGAAAGAAGTGCTTATTAGCATGTGGTGTGCTACCACCATGAGGCCAGACAAAATAACTGAGCTTCAATCCTCAGATTTTGTAATGTAGAAATTATTGTGACTTGAGCAGTTTCAGGGGAGTGGTAGAAGCAAAATACCTGACTGAAGTGGGTTTGAGAGAAACCAGGAAGAGGGGAATTAGATACAGCTTAGAGGACTGTTTTGAAGAGTTTTGCTATAAAGAGAAACCAAGAAACAGCATGGTGGCTGGAGTTAGAAATGGGGTCAAGAGAAGAGTGTCTCTGTTTGTTTTAAGATTAACAAGGTCAGTTTATGAGTGACATCCAAACTCCACATCCTTTCTGCTAGATGGTGTCTCTGTCATGTACCAGCTTCCCATCTATACCTGGATCTGTTTCTAAACTCTCCCTTCCATTTCATTGGTTTATTTGCTCAATCCTCAAATTCTGTTTTTTTTTTTTTTCCTTTTTGTCTTTTTTTTTTCATGTCCAGCAACGGATCGCAACCCTCGGTACTGCGCTCGCACCTCGCTCAGCCAGTGAGTGGGAACCGGTCTGTATGTGGGATCCGAACCCTCAGCGGGAGTGCCGCCACGCTCCCAAGTGGCGCACTGTAGCAGTGCGCCACCGGGCCGGCCCCCTCAAATTCTGTTTTTATCACTAAATATAAGTTTTGGAATACAGGTTCCTTCAAAATTATTTCTAGAATTTTAATTGGAATTGCATTAATTTTCTGATTAATGTGGAGGGAGTTGTCATCCACGAACATTATCTATTTATTTGAATCTTCCTTTATGTCCTTTAATGAAATTTAAACTTCTTCTCCATAAAGTTCTTGTACCTTTATAGGACCCTTTAAAGGGAATTTTCAGATGTCCTATAGATTTTGTTGCTATTATGAATAGGGTTGTCTTTTCTCTTATATCCTCTACTTGATTATTGCTGATTTATAAGAATATTATTGTTTTCCCTAAACTGATTTTATATCTAGCAGAGTTTCTAAGCTCTTATTAATTCCAGTAGTTTCATTCTATTATGATGATGTGTACAGAAGTCCTGTTATATGCAATAATGGTTTTCTATTTAGTCTTTCCCAATTCTTATATATTTTACTTCTTTTTCTTCTTTTATTGCATTGGTCTGGATCTCTAATACTGTTTTGAACAGTGGCAATAATACAGACACTGGTGTCTGGCTCTGTCCCTAGACTATGAGCATGTAGTGGAGACAGTGGCTCCCTTGCTAATTCCTCTGTCCCTGGGACTTAGCTCAGTGATTGGTATTTACCCACTGGATAAAATATGTTTGCCAGAGTTTTTCTTTAAAGAGTATATAATAGGCTCTGAAACACAATTTCTGAGTTTCTAACTTGAGCAACATATAGTTCTTTGTCCATTTGGTATTAGTTAAACTCTTCTGACTTTCAGCATCTGGGCAGCCAGAGGTAGGGCATTTTGTTTCTTCTTCCCACCAGCCCACCCTACCCAACATGTGAGATGAGCTCATTTGATCAAAGCACAAGCTAGTTTTGGGCTTCAGATACCTTGTATATATTGAGGAAAATCACATGAAATGTTATTTGAAAAGCAAATTTTTAAGTTCTCCCCATAGAGTACATACCCTAAAAAAATACTTCTTGTATGAGTTTAACGCATTCAGAATCACATAGGAAATGGGTTTTGAAAGCATACCACTTAGTTTCTACATTAGTAAAAGAACTAATCTAGAAGATTCCCACACATTCCAGATGCCTTAAATTTTAAGATTCCGTGATTCAGACCTTCCACCTGCTTTATGGAGAGATCCTAGCATGATATATTACATTTAAAGAAAGGACACACAAATTACTGATGTTCAAGTGTGGTTTGAAAGCCAGATCAGATTAGCTTCTGATACCTTAGATGCTTCATAGTACATAGAAATCATTCTGTAAAAGCTTGTTGATTCCTATACTGGGAGGATTCAAATGTGCTGTCTCATGCTTTTTATGGCCCTTTCTTTCCAAAGGAAAAACAAATCTTGGTAAGTGAAACAGCAATCTAAAATGTTTAGCACAAGTTCAAATAAATGTGTATCACCATTTGTGTGCTAGGTCAAAAATCAAACTATTTTTCTTATTGTGGGGTAAAATGGACTTTAAGTGAACCTGACTAAGTAATATGGCATAGAGTTCTCGTGACATCTGTAGTAATCATTTAAAAATACAGGATTTCATACCTAGAGGAATCTTCCTCCCTGAGAAACTGCAGATTTCTGAGTTTTTAATCCTAAGGAAGAAGAAAATAACCTTAATCCAAGTAAAACTTTAAACATGCAAAGAAGAAAAATTTTCAAACCAAACATATTGCTTGTGTTCAAAATATGTTTTTAATGTCAGAAGTTATCCTTATGGGCTGGCCCGGTGGCGCACTCGGTAGAGTGCAGCGCTTGGGAGCGCGGTGGTAGCGCCGCCGAGGGTTTGCATCCCATGTAGAGACCAGTCTGCTCACTGGTTGAGTGCGGTGTGGGCGCGACACCAAGGGTTGCGATTCCGTTGCCGGTCGCGGTGCAGGCGCGACACTGAGTGTTGCGATCCCGTTACCGGTCACTAAAAAAGACAAAAAGGGAAGAGTGCAGCGCTTGGGAGCGCGGTGGTAGCGCCGCCGAGGGTTTGCATCCCATGTAGAGACCGGTCTGCTCACTGGTTGAGTGCGGTGTGGGCGCGACACCAAGGGTTGCGATCCCGTTGCCGGTCGCGGTGCAGGCGCGACACTGAGTGTTGCGATCCCGTTACCGGTCACTAAAAAAGACAAAAAGGGAAAAAAAAAAGAAAAGTTATCCTTATAATTTATGAGAGACAAAATACAAACTAAAAGTTTAGATAATAATCAAGGAAGCATAACAGTATAAATTATGGTAAGTAGTTTGTGAAGGAATCAAACAGGATAAACAGTGGGAAATGCTGGAGTGGTCCCTTCTGTAAAGTGAGTGATGAGGGAGGCCCCTGCTGGAGGCAGCATGAGCGGGGACGCAGCACACACACAGGGAGGAACAGGAGAGAGAGGGCAGCTGGGGTGAGGAAACGACACGGCCGGGGGCCATGAGAAGACGTTTGACGAGGGGGTGCCTGAGCTGGGCAGGGCAAAGCAGGGAGATGGGGCCACACAGACCTCCTCGGGGGTGCCGGAGCCATGAGACTGGAGGCCGTGATGTCTTCCAAGGAGCAGGGAGTCTTCCTCCTGTCCCGCACTCACAGAAGGGGCATTGCGGGCACGTTCCTAGATGGAGAAGCACTGCTCAGAGCACGCAGTTCATCTTTCTTCGCTGCAATAGGAATTCTGCCACAGGATGCTTCCCATCCAGTCATAGGTTGCCATTGCTCTCAGTGGCCCTTGACAATGTAGACTTTGACAAGTACCACGTGAGTTATCTCTGAGCCTGGAGGGGATCTGTGGATGTGTTTCTCTTCTTCAGCATTTCTGGATTGAAGCTGGTGGGGGAGTCCTTCTCTCCAGCATTTCACCTACAACTGGAAGACAGCACTGGGTCTCGAGAGAAAGATGTTAAACTACTTCAAGAAATTGTTAACCAAGTAAGTGTCTAGCTACTAGCCACTCAAGGGACTCTCCCCAGACCTCCTGCTGCCCTCACCCCAAGCACTGCTCTTTATGTCACTTTTAAGAAAGGGCTCTTTGCCCCATGAGATATATCAAGTATAATGGAAATTGCTGGTCACCCCGCTCACGAGGTGGAATTGTCCTAATGCTCCAGATCCTTCCTTGGGTCTGGCTCTGCCCAGCTGAGCTCATGGAATGTCCGTGGTGACTAACTGCAGTCCCTCCCATTCGGTCAGTTTACACCTCCCACTGAAATTGTTGAGTTTCATGCCACTTGGTATTTAAATACACTTGGTTTCTACTTGGAATAATTAGCCTTGCAGATGACTCATTGCACACCATTTACAGAGCCAGGCTTTTGTGTGCATACTTGTGGGGGAGGCAGTGTGTGTAGGAGCTGCACACACTCCTGGACAGCTGGCTGACTTGGGGTAGAAACCCCCGATGTAGCTCAGAAATGGTCCATTAACTAGTGTCCTGAAATCATAATACTCTTGTAATCAAAAAGGAAGGAAGGAAGACCACTTCAGTAACATGCCTAATTTGGAGACTTATTTAAATTTCTTTATCTTTTGAAAGTCATTTCATTACTAATTATTGCTTAGTTATTGACTAAGAAACCCATCACTGGGGAAAACATTTACCCTTTTCTATTCAGGAGAGCTGCCTCTCCTGAGTACTCCCCTCACTTTACCCTGGGCTGCTGTTCCTTTTAAAGTGTGTCCAGAGGACTGTGCCACTGTAAATGTGCATGCCTTGGGATGACACCGCCTATTACTATAACCTGAAATACGCCTACTATGTACAGCTGTCCTTCAGTATTGCGGGACATTGGTTCCAGGACCCCTGCAGATACCAAAATCCTCAATGCTCAAGTATCTGATATAAAATAATGTACTATTTGTATCTAGCCTGTGCATATCCTCCCATATACTTTAAATCATCTCTGGATTACTTATAACACCCAATAAATGCTATGGAAATAGTTGTTATACTGTACTGCTTTTTATTCGTATTGTTTTTATTCTTGTTTTGTTGTTATTTATTTATTTTCTAATATGCTCAGTCCTCCTTATCTGCAGGTTCCACATCCATGGATTCAACCAACTGTGTATCAAAAATATTTGAAAAATAAAACAATAAGAATTAACAATGGAACAATTTAAAAAATACAAATTTTAAAACAATACAGTATAACAACTCTTTCCATAGCATTTATATTGTATTAGGTATTACAGGTAACCTAGAGATGATTTCAAGTGTAAGGGAGAATGTGCGAGGGTTATACGCGAGTACTGTGCCGTTTTATATAGTGCAGTTGAGCATCTGCGGAGAGTGATGCCCACAGGATGCCCTGGAGCCAGGCCTCTGCGGATACTGAGGCCAGCTGTACTGGAGAGTGAGGGTGGGCTCTGCCCTGCTTCCTCCGCCTGCCTGTGCTTCACTCCAGAGGCACCTGTTCCGAGTCAGTGCCGTCAGGTGTCTTGGCGTAACAATGATGGCTGCTGCCTGTTGTGTGCCTTTTCCAGGCTGGGCACCATGCCAGGCATCATCCGTCCATACAGCATCTCCGAGGGCACCCTCGGTCCCATGGCTGTTGGGAATGCAGGCCCACGAGTGAAGGCAGCCCCTGGCTGCAGCACTTGCCTCAGCCATTGCGTAGCCTGCCGTGTTGGAACCACATAACCTGGAATAACAGATTCATGGAGAACTTTAAACAGTTTGCGGCCTACTGGGGTCAGCTGTATTAAAAAACGGAAATAAAAACAAACCCAGAACCTGAGCTTTCTAACTGAGGAGAAGTGTCAGATTATGAATGATCAGGCCGGACGACTTGCCTTGCTGACTGAGGAAGTGTCACAGGTGTCCCTCAGGCACAGCTCTGCAGGTGTGAAGGAAGACCCTCCTCAGAGGGAAAGAACACCCCATTGCCCTCTTTATTGCCTCAGTATTTTATTGCAGTGTTGCTTAAATACGTACAAACAACAAAACTAAGCACAACATTCTTGTGGTTAGAGTTTTTATACAAATGTAAAACTAAAACAGATTTATAAATTGAATACTGAAAGGATGAGCCATTAAAATTCAGATTCATTGCATTACCTGTGTGTGACAGGTGAGCTTCTTTTTTTCAGGGGAACCGCCCTCGGCAGTGTGGCTGAGGCCTGGCCACAGAGCTGCCCTGCCAGCCTCCTGGGCCATTGCTGGGCTGTGCGTGGTGGCTGCTGCTTCTCCCCAGGTCTGCCCTCGAACCACCTCCAGACCATTGTCTGTGCACACTTCGTGTCATGGGACACTGGCCTTCTCTTGATGCAGTGTAGCAATTCTACATTAAACCTCCTCTGCTCTTTTTTCATTAAGTAGCAACAGTTTCACTACTGCTTTGTTCCAGAGACACACAGAGGAGGGCATGTGAATGAAACGACTTAACATTAAAATATTAATATACTGCACTTACCTAGATTACCCACATAACAAACACAGGAGCTGGAAGGCTGCAGACAGCCCACAGATCCCAGAGTCATGTCTGTGGGCCCCAGTCTCTTCAGGAAATCATCTGGAGAGTGAGTGACAGGAGAACATTCTGGGACTGGAAGCAAAGTACTACCTAGAACTTTTCCTGTGGAGGAAGAAAAAGGAAGAAAGATCGTACAGGTTCTTTGCATAATCACAGCTTCCCTTGCACAAGTCTTCAAAACCCTTTGTCCCACTCTCTTTTTCTTTTCAGTATTTGAGGAGAGAGAAGAGTTGTAGAATGTAACTTGTTTAAGCTTTATAGAACTGAGAGGTTTTGCCAAGTTTCGTGTTGAGTTGCTGGACAGGATGCTGTTTTTACAAACCAAACTGGTCTGTGATGTCTCTTAACCAGCCAGGGCTAGAAACAGAGCCAGTCCAGATGTTTTCAGGAGGAGTTCACTTTTCCAAGGAGCCGGCGAGGAGCTGTGATGACTGCCTGGGATTGTTCTCCGTGTCTCCCTTGCAGCTGCCAGCATGACCCCACCTCCAGGGTCATTCTTTTACTCCGGGCATTTGGAATAGTAGTTCTTTCCTTTACGCCTTGCTCTGTTGATTTGGGTTTTTTAAAAAATATAATTCACATACCATAAAGTTCGCCCTTTGAAGTATGCAGTTCAGTGGTTTTTCAAATTTTCACAGTATTGTGCAGCCATTACTATCTAATTCCAGAACATTTTTATCACCCTGAAAAGAAATCCCCATGACTATTATCTTGCTCTGGTTTTTATGCTTTTTTTTATTTTAGTAGAGAATGTTTTAATTTAAAAAAAAAAATGTTGACAGGTGGTTAGCGTATGGGAAAGCTGCGCAAAAAATTCGTTAACATCAGACACCTTGGTGCCTGTTATTGCTAATATTTAAAGTGTAGCGGTTTTTCTCTGACACAGCCCTGCTGCTGCTGTTCTTAAGTTCAGCTCTTGATTGCCCTACAGGGTTTTGCTCAAAGACATCCCCTGTGTTCTAATTCTGCTTTGTCTAAAATGACAACCACTAGCTGCCTATGGCTGTTTACACTTAAAATTAATTAATTTAAACTAAGTAAAATTAGAAATTCAGCCTCTCAGCAGTACCAGTCCCATCTCCAAGTGCTTGATAGTCACATAGGGCTCATGGCGACTGTGGTGGACACTGTAGGACGAGCATGTCTGTTGCTGCAGAGAGTTCTGTGGAACAGTGCTGCTCGAGGTGTTGTGGTGGCTCAGTTTTGTCCTTCAGCAGTTATAAGTGCAAAGTGCTGTGGGGGGTTGCAGGACGCCTTCCTGCTTTAATGGCTCCAGTGTCTGAAGTCCGGGGTGAAATGTGTTCCTTTCCCTTCATACAGTGCATGGACAGGAGCATTGCATTAACTCAGGCTCGCTACCTGGAGGAAGAAGAGAAGTGCCTCCCTCCTCCAAGGTGGGTTGACATTGAACGATGATCTGACTTTGTTTTCCTCCTTTAAACTCTATAAAATATATTATGTTTTGAAAAATTTTGAAAGACTAACAGGAAAAGAGGAATGTCTGTCATAAAATGTAGTACATCACCTGTTTTTTATCCTTAAAATAGATGTTTTCAAATTTTAACTGAAAAGCCCCCCGGGACCCACTGTGTACCCTCCCAGTTAACTCAAAGAAATGGCTGGGACCCCAAGAATGAACTGGGGCGAGCTCAAGTTCTGATCAGCTAACATCTGTCATAGCCCGAAGGTGGCAGGTTCTGCACCTGCAGCTTCTGCCAGGAGGAGGACAGTCCTGCAGAGAAGGGATAGTCATCTGGGTTGTGGTCGTGCCACCTCTGCCTGGCCAGGGCACATGTGACAGTTCATTCGGCAAACACTCATGAAGCACCTCAGGGAAAACAAAGCAGGGGCGTGGCAAACCTGAAGCATCAGCAGCACACACAGAAGGTACCAAAGGACACTAGCTTCTGTCATCAGAGCACTTACAAACTAGTCAAAGGAGGTGGTCACCCTAACCATGGTGGCATGGTCAGTGTTGGCCGGGCTTCCGAAATCAGGTGAACCTAAGCTGAGCCTGGAGAAATGAGTGTGTTTGCCAAACAGTGGGGGGCATTGTGGACTTCCAGCAGCGAGGTGATGTGAGCTGTGCTCAGGATTTCCAGTGGCTTGGAGACCTCTGGGTACATCTGGGAGCTCAGAGCATAAGCCTCAGAGGGACCAGAGAGAGGGGTCCTGGAGAAGGTCAGGTGCAAGTCAGGGAGGTCACTGGAGAGCACATCGAGGAGTCTGAGTGCTCTGCAGACACAGGGCACCAGCCTGGGGTTTTGGAAGCTCACTCTGGCAGCAGCTCAGACCAGAGAGAGGGGTCCTGGAGAAGGTCAGGTGCAAGTCAGGGAGGTCACTGGAGAGCACACCGAGGAGTCTGAGTGCTCTGCAGACACAGGGCACCAGCCTGGGGTTTTGGAAGCTCACTCTGGCAGCAGCTCGGCAGCATCTTAGAGACCCTGCGCCCTCATTTTCCAGTGCACCCACGCACATGTGGGTCCTGTGCTTGCTTGTGACTGAGAGGACTGGACGTGCTTGTTTGTAGCCTCAGCCCTCCATGCCCAGCACACTGCGGCTCAGTAAACGTGTGTCCAGTGGATGAAGCAGGGGCTTGCAAAGGAGATGAAAGGCACAGAGGTAGCATTGTATTGTCAAGATGGTGTTTCTTCAGTTTCCTGGAAACTTGAACATTTCTGCCTTGCCTCAAAGTATTACAGACCTTCCACATTGCCCTATTGAATTATAAATATGAACAACCAGGCATTCACTGATTTGAGAAATGTTGAATTCCTGCTTTGTGCCTGGTACTGCTCGAAGCAGTAAGTTGTTGAAAGGGAACCGCTTCCCAGCCCCATCATCAGACCTCCACAGCCTGGCCACCCTAACTGGACACACACGAGTGGTCCAGGCCGGCAGCAGACAGCTGGCAGCGGCCAGTAGGGAATGTGTTAGGCTTGCAGGCCACAGCGTCCCTGTCACATGCAGAGAAACTAATGTGTGGGCCGAGTTCCAAGAGAGCTTTGCTTTTACAAACAGGCAGCACTGGGTCTGGCTTTCTGGTTATAGATGACTGACACTTGGTGTGGACTCTCACTTTGTAATCTTTTGTGTCCTTTATGATTTCTCAGCATTAGGGTTGTGGTCACAGTGGAACAAACAGAAGAAGAACTGGAGAAAGCCGCATCCGTCATCAAGGAGGTGGCCCAAGAAGTCTTGCTGTAGCTGAGTCCCAGGACCCAGTGGCCTCCTGCTACCCAACATGCTGATGGCAGTTTTCAGAGACCTCCCACTGGCCAGGGAGTGACCTAATGAGAGCACCTGAATATTTGATAATGTTGTTACCAAATGGTGTGGAGATGGACTGAGTGTGTGACCCTGAGAAGGATGCTTCTTATTTTAACAAAGAAAACACATCTAAAAGCCCGGGAACTGATCTTTTTAAGAGGAAAACTAATGACAGCGTATAACTGGTATTTAAATTGTGCTGTTTAGTACTATTTAAAGGTTTTATTATACTAGTATTTTATATCCTTTTTTGTTGTGGTCATTTAAAACTGGAGCTTTAGTTTCTCTTCTCTCCCTTGTAATAGTAACAATTCCATAAGCACTCCCTAACTAATGAATACTTCATAGAAAAAACAGCTTAGCAGCATTAAAGCCAAGAGGAACACGTCAGCATATGAGACACAAAATTTATTAGTGAAGATCTAATTCAACCACATCTTTTCCAGTCTTCATCATACGGAACTAAATGGTGGCAAAAAAGAACACTACTTATGTGATTATTATAAACTTCATTATAATATATTTGAATCCTAGGATTTTTATATAAACTAAATATTGATGTTATACCATTTCTAATCTCAGCCTCCGTAACCAGAGAATATTCATTATGCTTCCTAATTGAGCAATAATTTAACTCAAATACTATTTTATTTTAATATAATTGACTCTTACATGATTATATGTTTCCAATCTATTT